ATTGAAAATCTAAGTAGAAAATTATCTCAAGCAAAATAACAACTCTAGAGGGGAAATGAACCACCTGTTTAAAACTTTCCAAACAATATTACCAAGAAATGATGACTATTAAACCAGAATGGATTTATTACCTGTACTAGTAAGCAGTGGATTAAGTCATTGAGCGATCTGTTGTCATGAATATTTATTCATATTTTGTTACTGCAGTTTGACCATACTCTTCAAAGAAATTATATTTCATTTATCCCCTTGAATAACTGCATTTCCAAGTTTGGGGGGAAATAGAATAACTTCACTTTCCTTTTGAAATTCTTGATGCCTTTTTTATGCTGTTAGTTTTTACAGTCTGTGATATTTTATATCGCTTTGAATACTGAATATGGGAAATTTCAAAGCTGCCCATAAAGTCCTTCACAATCTGTTTAGAGGCTAAAATCTTTTCATACTTATGAATCATGTCACTGAACTTCAGTGGGGAGAAGAAGGAGAAAAGATTGAATGCACTCTAAACAACAGAGAAACTTCAAGTGACGTTAGGTGTGAGGGTGGGAGTAGAGCTACACTTGGGACTGCAGCAGTGGACCCTCAGTACAGAGTGCGCGTTTACAACACTGGAACCACTGGCCCACCTTGCGTTGCTGGGTTGATTTGAGAGTCAAGTAAAAATCATTTGAAAACACTTTAGAAGCTTAAAATTTTGTGCGTTTTTTGGAGTGCATGAATGAATGCATGAAGTATAGTGTGGGCTGAATAAGAGAAGCTTTGGAATATTTTGAGAAAAGTGGTAATAAACTCAGGAAAATTCTTACTAAAACTGAAATTGAATATTGGAAATAATCATAGCCAGTCAAAAATTTCATAAGGAAGAGATAGAAAGCAGTAGTGGTAACAAGAAAATACTCTCCATAGGCAGCTATAACTTACAATAATAAGTTTTAAAAATGGAAACCATAGCACTCAGGAACACTCAAGAGGGAAATACCAGTTATCTTGCCCTTTAGTTCCAATTCCTTTGTCCCCCTCCATAAATAGTTTTACTTTTGTTCACAAGCCTTTGTGAGCATTACATTTTACACAATTAATTGAAGTATTGAAAAAAATCTTCCTATATACTTAACAAAGATTTGATAATCCATAAACTTGTCAACACTTGGAAATCTGTCAACATCATCTTAACTAAGGCAGAATTTCAAAAAGAAATGTATTTAGGGAGTTGAACAGAAAATGCTATTACCATTCATGATTCTAAAATGCCATTCCCATTCATGATTCTAAAATGCCATAATCATTGGAGAAGAAGCATGAGGCTTGGAAGTGGAGCTCAAGTCAATACTCAGTCACACACTTGGGGCATTTGAATTTATACATGCACATGTGGAGGAGTACAGTATTCAACTCTATCATCATAAATACATCATTTGTAAAAGGACTCTAAGGGTAAGTCTTGTTTATATTCAGTGGAAACTATGTACATACTGGTTATAATTTTAGAGAAACCCCTTTCTGCACACTAAATATAAAAGGATGGCTCTCTTAACACAGTGTGCATGGGAGTCTTATCCCTGCTTCACCACTTGCCAGCCTGAGGGATCTGCACAAATTGCTTAGTTCCTCATGTATCTGTGAAACAGAGCTGGACTTAGGAGGTACCTGTCCTCTGAGGTTCTTAGTGTTAAGTGAGATTAAGTACATGTATATTTTAGTACTGGGCCTGTTCCATCATGAAGTCTTTAATACTAGATTTTTGTCTTTAAATATTTCTTAGGAGAAGTGAATAAATTTGATGTACAAAAACCATGAAATAAAAATTATTCACATAGAGACTAGACAGTTTCTACTTAGCAATGGAGAAGAGATTAAAGTTAAACTGTATGGGAATTTATTGGCTATAATTTGTTGGTCTGAAAAATTGTATTTTCTAACAAAGAAATCTGAATATTTAGTACAAGTATAAATCAGATGTAGAACTTTTTCATTTCCACACCTGGAGGGATTTACAAGGACTTGTTTTATTTTAATGATTGAGTTCTTATACATCCATAGGATTTTAGTCTTGAGGAAACTGAGCACCAGAAGAATGAATCAGTTGCTTCCTCCATGGAGTTCCCAGGACTCTTAGCTTTTGATTCTGTAATTTAGATGCCTACTGTGAATCATTTATAGGTACATCTTTGTCAATCACTAGTTTTTATTCCTTAAGACTAAGCTCTGGGTCTCATTTGCTTTCATAGAATAATGAAGAAAAGAACGTTTTAAAATACTTTGTTTAAAATACCTTGTTATATTTGTGCCTCCCTATGAACTGTGAGGAAAGTGTGCTTTGACATTCTTTTATAGGTGAGGAAACAGAGATACAAACTAACACTAAATTGCCTCTCTCCTAAGGGGGTAAACTGGCATATAAATTAGAGCTATGGAATTAAAACTTAGCTCTGTGTGCCCCTCTTTACATGCATCTGATTTGTGCAAAAGACTCTCTTGAGTTCTGGAAAAGTGAATTCTTGAGGTACACTTGGTCTCCCCTCCAAAAGCTGTAATTTAATGTTATAAGGAGGCAATGTAAAGTAAATTATAAAATAAAACTACAATTAGAATACAATCTTTTGTGCCTTTCAGCAAGTTCCATAATTTCTTTAACATTTGGATCACTTGCTCCATGCAAGACCTTGGTTTGTATTTTCCTCTTAGGCTTCTCATGATCATGAAAGCTATATATTATTACTGCCCATTTATAGATGAGACTGTGAAACCCATAGTTGTTAAGTAACTTGTACAGTGTCATCCAGCTACTAAGTTCTGCATGTCTGAGCTTATTTCACCATGCTATGGCATCTTCTTCATGGACAAAACTAGACAATACGTTCCTTTTTCCATGTATGAGTATGGAGGTTGGATGTGGAGAATTGAAACTTTCTGCATTGTGAATATGAGCCTGTGTAAGTATTAGTGGTGGTAATCATAATCATGCCATGTGCCATCATTTTCAAGCTGTCTTCCCCACTGGTCTTTGGATTTGTAAGGCACTTTCCTGGGAGACAATGTACACGTGACCTGTAAAGCTGGTGTAGCTGGGCTGGTGGGTTCATGAGCACCTCCCTGAACCAGAAAACTGCAGAGGTGACTGTGCTCACAGTAGGAGGTTCATGATGGTATGTGGAAGAGTTCATACAACAGGTAGAAGAACTTTTGTGTGTGTGTTGGGGCGGGTACTGGGGTTTGATCTCAGGGCCTTGCACTTGCAAGGCAGGTGATCTACCACTTGAACCACACCCTTAGCCCTGAACAAATAGAAAGGAGATTGAGTGTCAGCTGTTAGCACACTAAATACTGAGACTTGGGATCCTTTTTGCCCAAATTCATTGCCAGAAATACAATTTATATGCAGCTAATTTGCAAAGAAGTCTCTAATTGCAATGAAATTTGGTTTGTTCATTCTGTATTTCCATGAGACCTTAGCCACCTTAGCCTTTACTATAATTACTATTTCTTTCTGGGCTTTCTGCTGCTAATACCTGCATAGTTATCCTAGATGTGAACTCTTCCAAGGAGACTTCCTTGACACTTGCCCAAGTTCAATTTCTCTGTATTCCTGCATCACTCTATGCTTGCTTGTGCCCTACCACTTTACCACTGTTTGCTTGATTGTCTCCTCTATCATATTGCATTTCTGGAGGAAATGGGCACATCTTCTTACTACATCATGTGCATAGTAAGTGCAGAGAAATAATTTTCAAACAAAAGATGGTCCTGTAGCTCACTGTGGTAGAGTTTAGCAATCAGTCTTAAGCTTTTTGAGTTAAGACACATATCTGTGATTTTTGAGAGTAGGACTTAGTATATGCATAGAGGTAGGGAAAAATTAAATATAACAAGGTTGACTTTTACCCAAGTCCACCTGCTGGAATCCAAGAATTCTATAATTGGTTTTTATGTGTACTCCCAGATTATTCCATAATAGGATCAAGAGAGTGACTATCAGGCTAGGTTTGGTAATATTGACTTGACATTGGTGAATCTCCTATGTAGCTCAGAATAATGGTTTTTACACATTAGAAATGCTGACAGTTCACTATAATTAGGAATGTGTTTCTGAGAATCAAAGGTTGAGTCTGGGCTTTTCCTCCTTAATTTGCTTACAATAAAATATGTACCTTGTCTTCCCAGAAATCAAGAGTGATTGAGTTAATGCTTTCCAACTATTATGTTCTTTGTTAAGTAATTCCAGAGTCCTGGCTGAACTGCTATTGCTTCCTTGACACTCAGACCAACTTTTTATATAAATAAATGTGGCCAGCTAATCACATTTTCTCCTCTGTCAGCTGTTGGATCTGGGTCTTATTCTATTTGAATAATTTTATTGTTATTAGAGAAGCTGCTAAGAATCATAGAACCAAAATTCAATTGAGCCCCAAATCAAACAGAGTAAAAACGGCTGTATGCTTTCTTGTATAACCAGAAGTGTTTATGACTTTGGGGAACTGGGATAGGTTTTTGTTTTTGTTTCCCTTCATCTGGAGAACACTTTTCTTCTCAGCTGTCTAGCCACTGTAGTGTGGTTATTGAATTGCAACTTTTCTTTTTTGGAGAACATGTATGGTGGTCCATAAAAATTTATCCAGTGGCAATGAGGATGAAAATTTCTTCCACACTTAGTTATTATAAATGATCAGGTGGTTAGAACAAAAATGTGACATAGGTTTATGGTAGTTGAAAAAGTAAGAAAGTATTATTTTTTTAAGTGAGTAGAGGTATTCAATGTAGAAGAATTGGAGTCCAAAGGCCTGTTTCTAGATGCAACTCTGGGTCCTTTCTTTGATGTTTGCAGTATGGGCGACCTACCACCTCTACATTTAGATTCTGGGATGTTGTGAGTCTTGATTAAATGGTAGCAGTGTGAGGGACCAAAGAGGTGTCCAGTGGACATGGTTTTCTATTTGTTACTTAATTGCTCATATTTGTATAATATATGTATAAAATATATTTGTCCATTCCTTTCATAGGCTGATCCCAAAGAGCTAATCAAGATGGTCACAAGGCATGTGACTGGACATGGACATGAAGCCTGGCCTGAGGACCTTGTATCACTCACCAAACAGCTGCACTACTACAATGAACGCCTCTTGGATTTCACTCAGGCTCAGCTCCTTCAGGGTCTTCGGAAGGGTGTGGATGTGCAGCGGTTTACTGCAGATGACCAGTATAAGAGGGAAACCATCCTTGGTCTGTCAGAGTAAGGGATACTTTGCTGTCATGGGGCAGTGATCTTAAAATGCAGTAGAGCAAGTGGAATTATCAGACAATATTAATCACAGTCCTTCAAAGATGGATATCTATGGTTGCTACCCTGAAGACCTTCTCTCACTTTTCCCAGTCCCATGAGGGATGTGTTTGTCTTCCTAAATAGATCACTGCATACATTTTGAACCTAGTGGTTTACATAGTAAGCACCGGGATTCTTTTTTTTCTTTCTACTTTGATAGTCTTACAATGTCATGTTATAGGATATAGAATATGATTGGGGTAAAAAGTATGATGTTTATGATAGAACTTTGAAAAATCATTTGGTCTTCTATTCTTGACTGGAAATGTCACTTTTCAAAGTAAAGGGAGCTTAACTTTTTCATTGTGTTAAAAATTAGATACAGTTGACCTAATATCAGAAGACGATACACTTCTGTATGTTCAGGTGTCTTTATCAGAGCTGAGAATTTGGAGAAGGAAAAGCCAATTGATTCTAGACTTTCCTTGTCAGGGGCAAACAGCAGCAAGAACTGCTATTTTCCATTTTGTGCCTTACATCTTTTAAGAGAAGAGTAGGCCCTTGTATGAGGTGTTAGTACAGCTCAAGGCTTGGGTGAAAGAGTTGTTTTCTATGTATGCAAATCCCTTTGGTTTTGATAGTGGCATTCTGTCTTGTTTTAGTAGTTTAGATCAAATGAGAAGTATTGATTAGTCAGAAAGTGGGGAAATGTGTTCGCCCATGGTGGTTTTGTATAGATGTTTTGTTTTTAACAACACAATTTGTTGAGTGCTTGCTATGGGCAAGACACTATGCAAGGTGCTCTGTAAGCTTTATCTAATAAATACCTTTCACACCCATAGATAACCCTATGGGATAACACGTTGTTATCCCAGTTTTATAGTTGGGAAAAATGATGCTTAGAGATATTAAGTAACTGGTCCAAATTTCCATGGGTGGTGAAGACTACAAGTCTGACTGCAAGTCAGATCTTTATCGCAACACCATGTGCCTTTCCTCACATTCTACTGCATCATCAAAGAAACATTGGTATTCTAGGCAATGTAGGCTTCTAATCTTGAAACTCAGGTTAAATTCTGCCTACATTTACTGTTTATTCATCTATCATGAAATATTACTTGGAAATAACAAAAACAGTCTTGATTATCATAATGGTGTGGTGTTTTTCACCATCATTATTTAAATCCTTGAGAAAGTGACAAAGTAGCCTTGGTTCTCTCTGATAATTTGCCAGAACTTCTTTCCTACTACAAGGCACTCTGGATTGTCTTTAGGATAAGGTAGGGCATGTAGTGATCAAAAGAAGGCTCAGGGGAACAAACCCATTGCCATTCCCAATTAAGAAGAGAAAGTTGGAATATTTTCCTCCTCCCCTCCTTCTTCCTAAAGGATCATAATTTTATAGAGTCATTCAATATGTAATTCAAAAGTGATCAGAAATATGGTATAATCCAGTCTCTTTGCTTTTTTGGAAGCAGAGTCTGAGATCCACAGAGTTTTAAGATGTTGTTCAAGGTCACACAGCTAGGAATTGAGCATGGGTTTTCTAATTCTGAATTCAGTGTGCTTTTCCTTTGTGCATTTTGTAATCCTTAATGCCATGTTCATGGTTTCTTAGAAGAGGGTTATTATGCAGAATAAAAGTTTATAAGGTAAGGCATTCCTTATATCATTAGTTACATTTTGCTAGAATTCTGGTTCTTTATTTTCTTTTATAAGTATCTAGCTAACATATGCTATTTGAAGTATGTCCTAGAGGACAAATATATGCTTTTGATAAATATATTATAGAATCTTCTCTACATTCTGCTTCTTAGAAAAATATACAGCAGTCTTTGGATGACTTGCTTAAAATGCTTTAGAGTTTCCAAGTGTTTGCAGCTTTGCCAATTTTGATTTGGAGGTGGGATTTCAATGTCTTGTGTAGAATTGCAAAACCCAGTTTTTCCTGTTTTGACACTCTGTTCACTTGTACACAATATGGCCATTCTTCATCTTTTCTCTCATTGTGTTTCCATTTTAATGACTTTTTTTTCATAATTGTAGTATACCTGTCCCTTCTTGTCTATATGCTTTACCTAATACATTCTCGGTGGTCACGCAGGGTAGTTTTGAATAGGTTATAATGTAGTTTGGTTTCTTCTCACCTATATCAAGGATAAAAAATATCAATATTTAGTCAGCACTCACCCAGGCTTCCAAAATAGAAGGGATGAATTAGAAATGGTCTCTACTCTGAAGGAATTATTCTATCATGTGGGAGTTGGTTCTCAATAAATATGAAAAAAATTAGTTGACAATGACCTACATCATGAGTTGACAAATATATTCAGCCCTTAGCCTGTTTTTATTTAGCCCATGGGCAAAGAATGGCTTTCCTACTTTTAAAAGTTTATAAAAAACAAAACAGAACAATAGAAAGAACACTATGCATCAGAGACCATAAGGCAGCAAAGCCTGCAGAATTTACTCTGTGGCCCTTTGTCACAGACATTTGCCAATGCCCTTGCTAATCAAACACATTTATGCCAGGGTTTACTTAGCTAGGGCAACTCTGTATTGGCAGTGTTGATAGCAACAGAGATTTTATTTCTACTTCTGTGGCCTCAGACCATATGCTTCCAACCAAGATTCCTATCTTCCATTTCTCTGCTTCTGAAAACTTGGGATTCTGTGGCAGACCTTAACATATGGGTGCTCTGGGTCTTTTGTTTCTTTTTTTTTTTTTTTTGGCTGTATCGGGGTTTGAACTCAGGCCTCACGCTTGCTAGGCAGGTACTCTACCACTTAAGCTACTCTGCCAGCTTAACACATGTGCTCTGAAACATCTTCTTGGAATTCTTTATATCTCTAGAAGGTCTCAGGCCTGGTGATATCACTCCCTGGCTTAAACTTCTACCAAATCTCAGTTGCCTATTAAATAAGGTGTAGGGCAGTTAGACCTGAGGACCCTGGGCTTTCCTAGTTGTAGTTTCCTTTTGTGTACACTGTTTAGAAGCCCACCTGTCTCCTCTTCATTTTGACCAGCTCTGCTCAGTTAATGCTTATTTATCCACAACCTTCAAAATGGTTCCTTTCCCATCCCTATTCTCATGATACTTTGTAATTTTTTTCTTTTTTCTTTTAGCATTACCACCACTGTATTTAATTACTAGTTCATATCTCACATCCTTTACTAAGCTGTGACTTCCTCAAGAAATAGCTTGGTCTTTTTTTTTTTTTTTTTTTTTTTTGATGTCCTAAACAGCTACCTGGCACAGTGTAGAAAAAAATCAGTTTGTTGAGTGACTAGCCATATTGTCACAAATACCTACCTTAGGGCAGGGATGGACTGTGTTTTGTTTTGCTTTTTGGTGATGCTGGGGTTTTATCTCAGGGCTTCGTGCTTGCTCTGCCACTTGAGCCAGCCTCAAGCCCTTTTTGCTGTGGATATTTTGGAGATAGGGTCTCACTTTTTGCTCAGGCTAGCCTGGACCACCGTCCTCCTGTTTTATGCTTCCCGCCATTGCTGGGATGACAGGAGCACACCCCCACTCCCAGCTTTTTTCCATTGAGATAGGGTCTTGCAAACGTAATTGTCTGGGCTGGCCTGGAACCATGATTTGTCCTCCCCCTGCATAACTTGAGATGACAAGCGGGCGCCACCTGTGTCCAGCTGTTGGTTGAGATGGGGTCTTACGAATTTTTTGCCCTGACTGGCCTCCAACTGTGAACCTCTGGATGTCAGCTTCCCATGTAGCTAGGATTATAACCATGAGCCATCAGCACCCAGGTTAACAGAGTTTTTTCCTTTTTCTTAACCTCCACTCTGTTGAGATTTGACCAGATTATTCTTAGTTGTGGGAGGGCCATCTAATGTAGAATGTGCCAGCAGCGTTTCTGGCCTCTTCCCACTAGAGACCAGTAGAACCTCCCACCACCGTATTTCCAGACATTATTAAATATCCTGTGGGTCCCAGAATTACCATTGGTTAGAAGCCCACTGGTACATAAGCCCATGGTAAATTGTAGTGCACCCAGTGAAAAGGAGTCATGGCCATCCTTTTCCTGCATTCCTGAGAAGTCACAGTAAAAACTATATTGACTATACCCTCTTGGCTGGAGAGGGTTCCTGGGGAGCATTGCCTGTGCTAATTAGGGTCATGCGTTTCTTTTCTTTCCCTTCCCTGTGCCTGATGGACATTCCTGAAGAACCCTTGAGGAAAATGTCTACAGCATTGCTCTTTCTCTGGCACAACGGTACAGTGTCTCCCAGTGGGAAGTCTTTATGACCCATCTGGAGTTCCTGTTTGCTGATAGTGGGTAAGTATACAATTCAGAGTCTATTTTAGAAGAATTTTGAAGTTATAAAGTACAGTTTTAATTTTCCTTCTCAGGTTTAATAGGCTATATCTTGGCACATCTTTCCTTTTACATTTCTGATACACCACTATTCTAACAATAACCTATTCATTTCAGTAATAATAACCTTGACTTAGGTACTTTACTACTCATTCATGTATTTATTCAGGATTACAATGGTGAGTGAGAAAAGGCATATTGGATCTTTGGAATTTATAGTCAATGGTGGGAGATAGATAATAATTGAATAATGACTTAAACAAATATGAAGTTAAAACTCTGAGCACACAAGGGAGGGGTGAGGATAGGTAAGACACCTAAAAAATTAGCTAGCATTTGTTGCCCTTAACGTACAGAAACTAAAGCAGATACCTTAAAAGCAACTGAGGCCAATAGGAAAAGGGGACCAGGAACTAGAGAAAAGGTGAGATCAAGAAGAATTAACCTAGAAGGTAACACACACGCACAGGAAATTAATGTGAGTCAACTCCCTGTATAGCTTTCCTTATCTCAACCAGCAAAAACCCTGTTCCTTCCTATTATGGCTTATACTCTCTCTACAACAAAATTAGAAATAAGGGCAAAATAGTTTCTGCTGGTTATTGAGGGGGTAGGGGAGAGAGGGAGCGGGCGGAGTGGGTGGTAAGGGAGGGGGTGGGGGCAGGGGAGAGAAATGACCCAAGCCTTGTATGCACATATGAATAATAATAAAAAAAAACAAATATGAAGTTAAAACTCTGACTTGTACTATCTCAGATTAGGAAATTTGGCATAGTCATAGAAGGCTTTCCTGAGGAAATAATGTTTGAGGCATCTGTGGTTTTAGTAGCCCCCAAGAATTCATATGTTGAAATTTAACCCCCATTAGGAGGCAATAAAAGGGTGGAAACTTAATCCTGCTATAGTTTTTAGAGTGAGGCCTTTGGGAGGTGATTAGGATTGGATAAGGTCTTTTGGGTAGTGATTAAATATGGCGGCTAAAAGGAAGAGAAAGGCAGACCAGAGGATGTAAGACACACGTGTGTACTTCCTGTCCTTTGCCATATGATGCATGTGCAACCTTGGAACTCTGCCAGCAAGAAGGCCATCACTAGATGTGGGCCCTTAAGCCTCCATCTGTGAGCTAAATAAACTTTTTGTTACGAAGTAGCCTGCCTCAGATATTTCATTAATGCAAAGCAGACTATTGAAAACTGAAATCTAAATACCGAGTCAGAATTAACCATACTTCTAGAAGAAGGGAACCATTTTTTTTCTGGGTACACACTACAGTAACTATAAAGGTCCTTTAATTAGGAACATGATGAGTCTTAGGACCAGGCAGAGGAGTAGTGTGAGTGAGGCCATTGAGCAAGGGGAGAATGGTGTGAGTGAGACAGAGAGACGCAGGATCCAGGGCATGCAAACAATCATGGAGGCCTTAACCAGAGCTGTTGATGTCTTCCTAAGAAGAACAGTAGCCTATTTAAGGATTTTTGGTGATGGAAAGGGAGAAACCACAGCCAGATTTTCATTTTGATAAGATCATTTTGGCTACTGTAATTAGGAAAGATTTAGGGAAGCCCGGATAGACATACAGACCAGTTAGGGAGCTAACTATTGCATTCATTAGCTGCATGACAGGTGGCCATTGCTTAGAGTAGGGCTTTGAAAGTGTAGAAGGAAAGGTAAGAATGAGTTTCAGAAATGCTTAAAAGGTGAAACAAGTAGTATTTAATGTATTAGTTAATATTCATAAATTTATAAGGACAAGCGAAAGGGGAGGTATCAAGAATCATTCCCAGGTTTATATTTGGCCCACCTGTTGGATCGTAGCAAATTCAGCTATCCAGTAGACTGTTGGAAGTTCAAGTAGGATGAAGAAAGGGCAAGGGAATCAGGAAGCTAGAGACATCCGAGAGGAATGGGCAACTCAGCAGTGGGATCTTACCAATCTGAACTTGAAAAAATAACATGAGTAGAAGTATAAATTTGGATGTCACCTGCATATGGAAGATAGAGATGTGGATGTTCTCTGGGAAGGAATATAGAATGAGGAAAGGAGAAAGACTTGAGACAGGTGGGATGTAGTGGCATGCCTTTAATCCCAGCACTCTGGAGGCTGAGGCAGGAGGATTGCAAGTTAGAGGCCAGCCTGGCCAATTTAGTGAAAATTTGTCTCAAAAACAACAGCAACAAAAGCCTTGAGGCAGCCCTTGGGGGCTTTCCATCTATACTGGTAGAGAATGAAGTTAAATCTTTTACCGCTAAATCATTTAATTTTTATTACTTCTCACAGAAGGGACAAAGAGAGAGTAACAGAAGAATGAGGAGGAAAACAGAGGAATCTTACTATAGAGAAGCTGTGGTCAGAGACCATTTCAAGAAGGGGAAGAACTGAGTGGGGTTTGATCCTGGTGAAGGACCAAGAAGTACTTATGATTTAGCATCTTTAATTTTTATTAATCACTAAAATGTTAATATCTACATTTTTAAGTGTGTATCAGATTGCTACATGTAATAGTGTTATTGACAGTAAATATTTTTGACTCAAAAATTTTTGAGTCAAAGTAATATGTTCAAATAAATACTTCCTATCATATGCATATTGGTGTTTAAAAAGTATCCTGGCATTTTGTTAAGTATCTTTTTAGTTCATTGAATGTTGCATAATAAAAGAATGCCATATCTGTACAAGCACAATGCTTCATTGGTCTCTGAATATATTATAAGTTATCAGGCAATCGAGTAATGTGCAAGACTGTTGCTGGCATATCATTATACCTGATAGCTGTGTGATTATGCAGATACACATAATTAGAACATAGGAAATCATTTTCTCCTGGCATCATACTTGTGAGTGGCAAAGCACTTAATATTGATTCAGCAAGTGGTGTTTGGGACTCTCTGTTCTTTACTAAAAAGGCAGCAGTTTGCCTTACTATTTAATCAGACTTAGTAACCCAGTTATTAGAAATTAGCCTCATTAATACAATAAAAGTTGCCCAACTTTTATTGGTTGAGTCAGTGCCACTGGGAAGTTAACAGTCACAAGAGAAATACTGTTCTTTGCTTTAGAATTTCCTGTCACTATTCCTTTAAAAAGTCATTTGCCCAGTGGAGATCATTTCCCTTTAACTGGGCTGATCTTGGAGGTATGACCTTCAGGCATGTTTATAGACAGGCATGTGAGAGAGCTTCACACAAGCCTTCAGATCCTGTATGCGTCACTTCTAGCTGCATGTCCTTGGAACAGATAGTTTACTTCTCTGCCGCTCGTTTCCTCAACTGCTAAGTGAGAAGTAATAAAAATTAAATGATTTACTGGTAAAAGATTTAACTCCAGGGTGTGATGCATGTTCAGTGCTTAATGGCAGTTATTTCAGGGCTTTCACTCCTCTCAGAAAGAGAGAATTCTCAAAAACTCCCTTACTTGAATTTTTAGTCTCTTTTCCTCCCTGTTCTCCCTCTTTTTCCTTCTTCTTACTAGGTTTAAAGGATGATGGTTTTGCATGGTCACAAGTGCCTGGAGTCACTTCTTCCTAGCCTCTTGGTTCTGCTGGGGCATGTTCTTCCTCAAAGTTCAAGGCTGATTGGTCAATTTCCATCTTTTCCCTTCATATTTAAATAGCAGGTCTAATGGCTAAACATACTAAGCTTTGCACTTTAATTCCTTCTTTTTAGTCACCCAAGTGATTACCTGAGTGAGTTCTCTTGGGTGGCACTTACTGCAGACTTAATGGCTGTTTTAGACAGCTTGGTGAGTCTTACAGATGATAGTAATTACCCTCGAATGCATAGCTGGTGATGAGGGAACAAAGTTTAGGGTCAGATCAAGTTTCAGGATTCAGAGCTACTGCCCAGAGTCAGCTGTGTGGACTTGTTCATGTTTCTTGATTGTCTTGAGTTACTGTTTTCTTAGTTATTAGAATCTTTATCCTTGCCTTCAGGGTTATGAAGTTTAGAAAAGATCATTGGAAAGTATAAACTGGTGGATCCTTCAGTGATATTGTGGTTATGCCTATTTTTATTGTTTTTATTAATTCTGTTGATACTGTGTCTTCTTAAGCTTTGTACATAGGAAATGCCAGAGGGTGCTTCTAGCTAATATACTAGCAATGTATTTATTCATTAAATGTTGTTCATGATATTATTATTAGTAGTAGTAATAGTAGTAGTAGTCTTTATATTCCAAGCATAGTTTTTAGTGCTGGACAAGACAGATACCTCCTTCCCCTTATAGATCTTATATCCTCTTAGGTAATCCTCTCTCTCCGCTCCTTACCTCCCAATCAAAAACCAGCCAACATGTAAGCTGCATGCTATAAAGTAAATGTTCAGGGCAGATGGGGAAGGCCTTTCTTGGATATGAAGAGAAAACTCACTATTGAAGAAGACTGGAGGAAAGGACCTTGATTCCAGCCTAAGCAATGTAGGGAGGGTGCTTCTTGGTGTTTTTGTAGCTGAAGAAGATCATTTCAGCTGGGTGTAGTGAGCCCAGGAGAGATAAACAGAGACTGGAACACACCTTTGGCACGTCACACTTTCTAACACTTGCCATCTTTCCCTTTTATTTAAACAGCAGGTCTGAAGGACCAACATCCTACTCTTCGCACTTTAATCTACTTTTTAGTCGCACAGGTGATTTCTTGGGTTAGATTTTTGGGTGGCAGAGATTATGATACATCCTCAATCTGAGAGGGTTCTTTTATCTCAGATGCAGGGATGGACAAGAGCAGTGTATATCTGTAAGGGATATATAAACTATAATATATCTACCTTTTTTTGAATTCAAAGAGACACAGAATTTATGTGGGGAAGGTTACTGCTGCTCACATAGCAAGGCTTGTGCCCATGTTACCACGTTGTAAAGAATCCTAAATTCTGGCTTCTCTTCCAGGTCCCCCTACCTTGAAGACCCCTGATACAGTAGAGGAGTTAGTTCAGAATGGTTAGTAAACACAGAAGAAGGATTTAATTCC